AAGGTCGAGAAGGGAGAGGGTTGACATGTTGTGGGGTTGTTAACCAATGTCATAAAACAATATGTGTACTACTATTTCATGAGAAACTATTTGTTCTGTAAGCCTTCACCTGAAGTACAATTAAAAAAAAAAAAAGAAGGTACTTGTATTTTTTTTTTCCTTATTAGTAGAACCAGGATAAAGAAATATATACTTCATCTATCCTGGTTCTACTAATACGGAAAAAAAAAAGTATGAGGAGCCCTGGTGGTGCAGTGGTTAAGCGTTTGGCTGCTAACCGAAAGGCGGGCAGTTTGAATCCACCAACCGCTCCTTGGAAACCCTACCGGGCAGTTCTACTCTGTACTATAGGATCACTATGAGTCAGAATCGACTCCACGGCAACGAGTTTGGCTTTTTGTTTGTTTTGTTTTCTATAAAACTAATAAGTATTAGTTTTGTCCCCCACTCTCCTTAGAAATTGCTTAGATCAATGTTTTCCATGAAATACTAATATCCTGGGATATGTTAACTGGTATTCCTGTCAAAAAATGATTCCGTGATCAAATAAACCTGAGAAATGCTGGATTAAATAAGGCTTAACTGCTTTCTGTTCTACAGAACTCCTCAGGATCTTTAATATATGAATGTGCATCGTAACACATTCAACCTAACAACATAATGCTCCAAGATGGAAATATGGTAAGCAGCATTTCCCAAAGTCATTTGGCCACAGAACACTTCCCTTTAAGAAACGCCTGTTAACTGTTTACGGTGTTAACTATTAACACCTCTCCACCTAATTTTGGGAAGTGCTAGATTAATGTAAAGAGAAAGAGAGAAAGAAAGAGAAGATGATTGTTGGTAAGATGATGATGCTGTTAACAGCAATAGGAAAGAGAGAGAGAAACAAATTTGGGATTGTTGTTGTTGTTAGGTGCCGCCGAGTCTGTCCCAACTCATAGCAACCCTATGTACAACAGAATGAAACACTGCCCAGTCCTGCACCATCCTCATAATCGTGGTTATGCTTGAGCCCATTGTTGCAGCCACTATGTCAATCCATATCGTTGAGGGCCTTCCTCTTTTTTGCTGACCCTCTACCAAGCATGATGTCCTTCTCCTGGGATTGGTCCCTCCTGATAGCATGTCCTAAGTATGCGAGACGAAGTCTCACTAACCTTGATTCTAAGGAGCTTTCTGGCTATACTTCTTCCAAGACAGATTTGTTCATTCTTTTGGCAGTCCATGGCCTTTTCAACATTCTTTGCCAACATCATAATTCAAAAGTTTCACTTCTTCGTCGGTCTTCCTTATTCATTATCCAGCTTTTTCATGCATATGAGGCAACCGAAAACACCACGGCTTGGATCAGGTGCACCTTAGTCCTTTAAAGTGATATCTTGCTTGTTAACACTTTAAAAAGGTCTTTTGCAGTAGATTTGCCCAAAGCCATGCGTCTTTTGACTTCTTGACTGCTGCTTCCATAGGCATTGATTGTGGATCCAAGTAAAATGAAATCCTTGACAACTTCAATCTTTTCTCCATTTATCATGATGTTGCTTATTGGTCCAGTTGTGAGGATTTTTGTTTTATGTTGAGGTGTAACCCGTACTGAAGGCTGTAGTCTTTGATCTTCATCAATAAGTGCTTCAAGTCCTCTTCACTTTCAACAAGCAAGGTTGTGTCATCTGCATAATGCAAGTTGTTAATGAGTCTTTCTCCAATCCTGATGCCCCCATTCTTCTTCATATAGTCCAGCTTCTAAGATTATTTGCTCAGCATACACTCTGTTCTAGACACGGTGGCCCCTAGATGAGTAGACCTACTATACCAACATTTTCATTGCATTTATTAGGACAGAAAATCATCAACTATTATATCCATTATTCCTTCACTAGAAACAGAGAATCTGATTCCATACATTATTTTAAAAATGGGACAATAGGACCACCAGTTAATGGGTAGAGTTTTTGTTTTACATATGAATTAGCATAAATCCCACTCTCATCATGCCAATGGTTGATGCCATATCTTTTGGAACCATCTAGATCTGTGAACTGAGAACGGCATTTTCTGTGCACTATTGAATAATCATCATCTTCACAGGGATAACCCTATGGAGGAAAAAAAAAGAGAGATAATATTGAATGACTGAAATATGTTTAAAAAAAAAGGCATGATCTTCAAAAGTTGATCATTAATGTAATATTCTTATTATGGTCAAAGTTTAGTTTTCAAACAATTAATTAATTTAATCCCTCTGTATAACAAACTCCTCAATGAAAACCATGGCTACTGCATTTATAAGTACTTCTAATCCTGAAAGAAGAATCTAGTTCATGGTCGTTTTATTTATAAAACTAAAAAGATTAAGTTATCATACATGCAAAATTTTTCTAAGCCATAATCATACAGCATAGAGAATAATTTAAATTTTATGACCCCCTAAATAAGACAAAAACAATTACAATTTAACTACCATCTGATACTTCTTTATCACTGTAAGTTATAATCTTTCCAAAGAATAATATATTGGGTTATATCTTTAATAATTGCTACCAAAGTCATGCTTCCCAGGACAATAGTAAATACCAAACCCTAAGATTCATTTCTATGAGAAATTTACCTCTGTATAACCCAATATAATCTTTAAGATGTTTATCCTTAGGCTACCTCATAAAAGCTTCTATTGTAAGAAAACAAGACACTATCACTGATCATTTTCCAAAGGAAATATCGATTCTTTCAGATTACACCAGCGGTGATGGTAGATGTGGAACATAAAGTCTTTGAACTAATTATCTAATTTTTGCTTCAAATTGGTAATAATTTTAAAGCACTAGGACACTGTTGAAATTAAATCACCAAAGATATAAAACAATGAAAGGACACCAAAACAGTTCTAATCTTAGATTGGCTTTATTTTCAACTGAAAAGTTTAACCATATGTTCAACTGCAACGATCATTACTATGTCTACCATTAATTGAATGTCTGTTATGGGCTAGGCACTGTACTGAGTGTTGATATCTTTTAATCCATTAGAGGGCTCTGAGGTAGGAATTATTGCTCCCACTTTATAGATAAGAAAATGTGAAGTAATTTGCTTAAGTTCTCAGAAGGAGAGAATTTAAATAATGCCAACATTAAGTGAGTAAGCCAGGAGTTTCAGCTAGGTCTGCCTGACTGTAAAACCCTTTGTTCCTCCAGGATCCTTACTAAATTCTTAATAATTAAGAGATGAAAAAAAAGTATAAACAATAAAACCCTAAAGCTACATAATATCCATGTCACTGTTCTTTAGTCTAGGTTTTGACTTTTAGTTGTTGGGGTCTGTTTCTTTGTTTTGTCTTATTTGGGGGAAGATAGAGGTCCTTTAAATGAGATTTGAGGACCACTGGCCCAAACTGCCCCCTCAGAGGGAGGCAGGATCTTCTCATTCCTTTACCACTGTGATCAAACCGAAGAGGGCTTTGAATGCCACATCAACCCATTCCTTCAGCATCTCATAGGCAGAGAGGAGGATTTTGAGGTGAGTGACAAGATTAAATGTGATGTTTTAGGAAAATAATTCTGGCAGCAGAAGATATTAAAGACTGGTAAAAAGGGCTGAATTCGAAAATTGTGATTTGAATTAGATCTTGACAGCACAAATGTTCATCAATGTATGGATGGATAAACAGAATTTGGCATATCTATATAATGAAATATTGTTCAGTTATAAAAAGGAATGGAATACTGTTACATGTTACAATATCAATGACCTTGAAAGCATTATGCTAAGTAAAAGACATCAGACACAAAAGACCATGTATTGCAAGATTCCGTTTGTATGAATTGTTCAGAATAGGCAAATCACAGAACCAGAAAGTAGATTAGTGGTTGCCAGGGGATGGGGAGGGGGAGAATGGGGAAAGACTGCTAATGGGTATGAGGTTTCTTTTGGGGGTGATAAGAATGTTCTGAAATTAGATAGTGGTGATGGTTGCACAACTCTGTGAATATACAAAAAAACACTGAATTGTACACTTTAAAAAAAAAAGGTGGAGAATCTGAAACCGGGAACTTGGGAGAAAGTAGGGGTGCAGAATACACCAAAACTGCACAGGGATCAGAACACACTGAAAGATGTGGAGCCAGGACTCTGCAATCTACTTCTAATGGACATTGTTGAGTAACTCCCATCATCATTGTTGTATTGGTAAACCATCTCTCAAAAACAAAACAAACTAAAAAACCTAATTTGTAGTATTTGCTAATTTTTGTGGTCTAAATACTCCCACTATGACTGACTTGAGGTTACCAAAACGATGTCAGTAAATATTGAGTTGGGAAGACATGAGCAGAATCAGCTCATGCAAGCTGTTAAGAGCTGGCTGCAGCTCACCCCTGAATCCACTTGTCCCATTTCTCATTATATAGCAACCATTTAATTTGGGTAGGTGTTATGGACTGAATTGTGTCCCCTAAAAAGAGATGCTGAAGTCTTAACCCCCATACCTGTGAATGTGACCTGGTCTGGAAATAGGATCTGTGAAGATGTTATCAGTTAACATGAGGTCATACTGGAACAGGTTGGCTCCTAATCCAATATAAGAGATAGTTGTATAAAAGAGGAGAAGAGACACAGACATAGACACAGGGGGAAGATTGCCACGTGAGGATGGAGGTAAATACATCTAAAAGCCAAGGAACATCAAGGATTGCCAGAAGCCACCAGAAGCTAGGGAGGGGCAAGGGAGGATCTTCTCCTAGAGCCTTCAGTGAGAGCACTACACTGCCAACACCTTGATTTCAGACCTTTGGCCTCCAGAACTGTGAGACAAGACATTTCTGTTGTTTTAAGCCACACTGTTTGTGGTACTTTATTACGGCAGCCCTAGGAAACTAATATAGCAGGACTGACCCTACTCCCACCTCTAGGGAGAGAATGTAATTGGCCTAATACAATCAGCATAATCTTACCCCATTCTCAATGACAGTGATTGGTTCAATGTTGAGCATATGACTTGAGTTTGTCCAAACAGAGTAAAGTCCAGGACTTTTGTTCAAAGGTTTTTGAGGAAAGAAGCTCTTTTTTTCACGATTGCACATAAATTAGGAAGCATCTACCCCAGGTTGCTGTTGGTAGCCCTCCTACAACCCATCTGGCATGAAGCCGACACTGCAAAAGTCAGGAAGAAACTGAGTCCTTGACGACAATGCTGGATCAATCCTCTCCTAAAGCTTGACTTTTCTTAAAAATGTAAGCCAATAAATTGCTTTTCTTGTCTGATTCTGTTTGAGCTGGGCTTTGTAAAGCTAAAGCATCCTAACTAACATGTACGTGGATAATCTACAATATGGGAACACTGAGGTGCTGAGAGTCAGAACAAGGAAATGAGTCATAACCAGGGAAGCAGGGCATATACAAAAACATAGGCATTACTAACAGTAAATTTGTGACTAAGCATACAATCAGGAATTAGAAGGTAGCAAATAGAGAATAGGTGAATAAAGCAGCTGCTCAAAAATTAGAACAAATTATTGGGAACATGGAGGGTATAATTATTACAAGGAAGCAGAGATAGTATGTTTCTAAAAGTTCAAGGTAAAAAGTATGAAGCAGAAGAGAAAAAATCAGATGCACCAAGAAGACCTTTAAAGGACCTTAATATTGACTGCATCTCAGACCCAAGGCCAAACTGAGATGGTGGGAGTCCTGGACAAGTAAGTAATTGTCTGTACTTTCAAACCAAGTATAAAAGGCGTAATAATTTGAAAATTATTAGTATGTTTTCTCTTTTCAGTGTGTGCAACCATCCACTTGCCTAAGGAGAGATTAAAATTTGTTTAAAAAAAATGGCAACCAACAAGCAAAGTTATATTTAGCTTCTAATATGCAACATAGGACTTCTCCGCAAGACAATAGTCTTGTAATTCAGTCTATAGTCTTGAGACTTTAGAATATCAGTGACCAAGCCTGGAGGACTCAAATCATAGAGTTTTCCAAATGTGTAGAGAAAATACCCTCTCTGCCATTAGGCTTAGCCAAGAGTTGTAATGCAGAGAAGGGTAGGGGAGAGCCTTTCTATCTGGGGAATTGAGGGAAGGAGATAATAAAGGAGAAGGGAAGCTGGACAGCGTAGATAGCAAATGTGTGTCCCAGTTTTCTCATTTCTGGGCTTTATTCAGGCAGACGCCCTTTGACCTGGAGAGAGAAAAGTGCATTGACAAATGATAATAATGGCAGAAAATCATAGAGGTTCTCTTGCCTGTATCCCATCCATGTTGAAAACTCTTGAAATAAGTCACCTGTCAGACTGCCCATTCATTTGTCTGAGCACAACCATGTCAAAGCTGCTGGAACAGCTTGCTCAGGCAGAAGGGAGGCTCTGGGATTGATCAGTACTGAGCCACTTTTGATATTCTGAGGCATAGACAAGATTCTAAAGTAGCTGGAAGTCTACAGAGTGGTTACTAAGCCTCACATTGGAGCTAGGGCGGGATAAGACTCACAGGAGGCTTCTGTGAGGTCTACAGTGCCTATGGGAGTAGAAATGAGGCTGAGACATTCAGGACATGCCATCCGGAACCCAACAAAGTCCAGAGAGAAGGAGAAAAAGACTGCCAGTTACACCATCCACAGACTTTAGCCACTAATGCCAGCAGGGAAAATAGCAACCAGGTGGACTAGGGATATCACCCCAGAGATCAGAACAGACAGAGAACATAACACTTAAAACCTTACTCTTCCCCTCTGGCATCAGGATGCTAAGTTACATCCCTCCCTGCATATGCTTGGTCGCCACCTTAGGGAGATTTGCAGTTACTACCACTGCATAACAAACCACCCCAAATATAATAGTGTAAAACAATAACCATTTTATTATGTTTCCAGATTCTTTGGGTCAGGAAGAAAAGGTACAGAAGGGCTTCTCTCTGCTCCACAGTGTCTGGGGCCTCAGCTGGGAAAGTAGAGTATGACTCAAAGGCTGGATGGATGGTGGAATCATCTGAATGTGCTCTCTTTCAAATGCCTGGCAAATGATGCTGGCTGTCTGCTGGAACTTCATCTGGGGCTGTTGGCTGGAAAAACTACACATGCCTCTTCATGTGCCTGCTTGGGCTTCCTC